ATTAAACCTATGATAACTAGGCATTTAACAGCGTGCAACATTTGCTTCAGTTAATGTAATAGGTGGATAAATGGATACTCAATTACTGAAACAGCCAAGAATACACTTAATACCATCACTTCAGAGTCATTTATTTAATTAACCTAAAATGTATCTCGTCTATGATGGACTCTCCACCCATGGAATTAGCAAAAATTTATAGTCTTGCCATGTTTTATTGCACTTAAGTATATGCTGAAATACGCCAGACCAGTATATTATCTTATATAATTGTCAAAGTCTTTGGTGACTAAAGTAAAATTAACACAAACCCAGTGAAATGAGACTTAAATTATGCTGATCTTTCTTTTATCTAAAAAAAAAACTTACAAAAATAAAGTTTTCTATAATTTCTAAGGGGTTTATTCTTATTAAAACAAATATGTTTTGAATTTATTGTTTATTAAATGCAGAATGGCATTTACATACGTTCATAAAATTTAAACATGTCGCTAAGGTAAATATCCAGAAAAAAACAGTTAAATCGAGATAATAATTCCGAATCTTATGTGAGTCTAAATTGATGTTTACTCATAATGTGGGGGAGGTGGGTAGGGTGTTGGGTGGGAAGGGTATGATGGCTTGTATGTTGGGTGGGCGGGGTACGAGGGTTTATGTGCTGGGTACTGGGCTTCTCCCTCATAGTTCACCACAGCCTCCAGACCATCACCGTTGTCCTGGTAATTGACGGTCTGCTTGCGGCCATCGGGGAGGTCCACCGAGTAACTGCCTTCAGTTCTGTAGCCGTCGCGGGTCTCAGAGTGACCGAAGTTTGCGCCGTAGTGGTCCGCTACACCATAATTGAAGGTGTATTTGGGAGGTTCCTGGGAAAACAAAATTCACAGTACATTGCAAACTATATAAATCTAATAAATATAATTAAAACAATAAAATTTTGCAATGAATCTAATAAAACTGTTCTAAAATACATAACTAACCAAATTAGTCTGTCATCTCTTTTTTATACATGTATTTTAATGTGTTCAGTAACTGTTATTAATGATCAATAGACACATCTTCCTCACCTCTGGGTAGTGCGGCTTGTGGTAGTGAGATGGAGCTGGGTAGGCTGGTGGAGAATGGTGAACAGGAGCCTCACCAGCCGCCACGGCCAAAATGCAAGCAATAAGAAAGACCTAAAAATATATATATATAAATATATAATATATATTATATGCCTTTTAAAATTCATAAATGCTGGAAACTATTGATTTCTTAATCTAAGTTATGCTGTTATGCATCAACTCTTACATTTAGCTGAAACATCTTATCCAATTTTTCTTTAATGCTTTCCTATTTAATAGACAGAAGGAAAGTGCTTCTGTATTTAGCCAATTTTTCGCTTGAGGATCAATCCAGTCGTTATCTTTACTAAACAATTTCTTGGTACTTTATACCTTTAGTTTCATAATTATCTTCTTCCTCTGACTTCCTAATTTACGATTTGCGGAAACACTGTCTATAACAGTTCTTTAATACATTTTACTTTGTATTGTCATTTTATTCTTACGCTATAATTCTTACATTATGTCTTATTCCCCCCTTCCCTTCAATGAAGATACTAAAATTTTCTTTTATTCGTCTTCTCTTCTGTCAATCTTACATTATTAACCAAGATAGCCAGACTTTGTCTCTAACTTTTCTATTAAATGCATACATCTCTGACATCAAATTAGAAGTTATGTACAATTCCAATAAGTTGAAAAACAAGACGCATATGTTACACTTGGGTATCATTATGGCCGAAAATTTTACCTGTACAACAAGCTTCTTCAGTCAAAAATAGCTTAGTACAACTTTGGAGATTATTTCTAATATCTCCAGTGAGGTTTTTGCCTCTTTTCGAATGAAGAAATATATTGTGTAGGCGAAACGTTTTTATAATAAAAATACTCAAGTATTGTACATGTCTCTTTTTCATCTACATCTCTGATGCTTTTTTTTTTTTTCATTTTCAGTTTGATTAGCACCGCACTCAATTCTTTCATACGAAGTTCCAGCTCCTTTTCGCTTCCTGATAAATTGTTCCTTCCTTCTCTATACATTAAATCTCTATATATATTTCATTGTCTACATTTCACAACCAATCAAATTATTCTATTTATCTTTTTTTTTTTACATTTTTGTCTCATCTAGCATATCAAAACCTTCATTCTTTTCTGACGAATTCATTGCTTTCTCGGGAAACAAAAACAGCACAGGACTAAGAGTCTGAACGAGAAATTATTGGGGTCCAACACCCCACACTGAAGATTAGAGTCATTACCATACCTTGAGAGTCATGCTGGAGTTGTGATGCTCAGAGGTGCGCTGCGTCTGATTATATACGCTCCTCCAAGTGACTTTCCCTAAACATTTCTAAATATTTAGGAACAGTTATTACATTGTGTGTGTGTGTGTGTGTGTGTGTGTGTGTGTGTGTGTGTGTGTGTGTGTGTGTGGTGTGTGTGTGTGTGTGTGTGTGTGTGTGTGTGTGTGTGTGTGTGTGTGTGTGTGTGTGTGTGTTTGTGTGGTCGATGGTTCTTCCGGGGAAGATATTACACTGAATAGATAATGTGATTATCATGTAATTATTGATAGGCTGTAGAAAAAATAGTTTTTTTTTTTTAAATTAATTGTGCTTGAAATACAAAGAAAAATCACCATGTTAATTTGTTAACGTGAATAACAAGAGTTCTGATCATTTTAGCACGTCGGAAGATTTAAAAAAAAAAAAAAACGTGAAGACTCTTGGAAGGAAAAACTGAGCATAGTATTGTTGCGTGGAGATGCCGACTAGAAGGTACTGGCTCTCACGAATTTCCCAACTCTGTAATAGACAGAGTTGGAAGGAAATAAATGCAGTCTCAACACACACAAGTTAGAGGCAGGCGATGTATGACAGCTACATCCTAATGTACAACTAGGGAGTTTGCTTCATTCTTTTTTTGAACCTCTAACCAAACGACATGAATATAATAGGTGTTTGAGGTTGATTCCTTAATTGTAACTGAATCGTTCTTATCCATAAATGCTCTTAACTCCGTGAGTATCAATTATGACATGTATGTGTCAGACACCAGACGCATGTATGGTAGAATTAAAGACAGTGGAGTCATTGTACACCTGTAGATTCCATCTCATATTTGTCTTCAGATGCATGATAGGCCTAATGAATTGGCAAAGGGGGAATGCATCACAATCTTGTTGTGTCACTTAGTAATTTGGGGACATGAGCTTGAGACTGAGTGACAGTGGCATCAGTATGTCAATGTAGCATCATTCTATCATGCAGGAGGAGCCACATGTCAATGATGCATCAAAAAAAAATGAACAGTCTCTTGAATTTCACAACTGCAGGGCTACGGCTGAGCTGTAAGTCTTCCTAGGAGGTTGTATCACCAGCTAATGTAGTCGTAACTAATGCAAACTCTGGCAGATAGACTATTGTCACCCTGCATCATTACTTACTAGAATGCAAATTCAGAGAAAAGCTCACTCACAAATTATGAAAAAATGCCGAAATATTTCGACCACACAGTATTACAGACAAAAAATTAGCATGTAATCTGAATATATACTTTGACTTTGCCTATTGTAAATAACTCATAACCACTTATATTTTTGTAAAATTAAACTATTTCTTTCAAAAATAAACATTGCAATCTGCTTAGTTATCAAAATTTTGGGGGTCAGGCCTTGGACCAATTATGTGCCATAGTAATCTTTTGACTATCGCTTGCTGGATGGGTATGGGATGGGTATGAAGGTATCATTCTAACTATTTAACCAAATTTACGTCACTACAAAATCTTTTGCACTTAATTTTGTATAAAGTAAGCAATAGCAAAATGTAATTACTTCTGAAATATCGGAAAAGATAATAATCTTTAGATAGCATCATGTTAATACTGGAGCTGATGAAATTAACGAAAAAAACTTTTCAATCAGCAACGATGTCGGAATTCTCGGAGTGAAATTTGACTGGAATAATTATGAAGAATTTTAATACGGATCTTCCTAGCAAAGCATCCAAGATACTAAGAGTGACCTAAATCCTAGTAACGAAACATTTCTATAAAGATTTTCGTGACTAAGGAATGGAGATTATCTGGAAGTCATTGAAAGGCTTTACAGTATTATCAATGTGTAGGCGAGAAACTACAAAGTGGGACATACTCAAAGTGAGAGTAAATATACTCCTTATTTGCAAGATCTGCAATAAAGCCCTTCATAATTATTTCAGTCAGATCTCACTCCTAGTATATCAACTTCATTGCTGAGTGATAAGTGTTTTCCGTTTATTCTTTCATCAGTTCTAGCAGTAAGGTTGGGTTTTCTCAGAAGCAACTGTATGTTCTTATTGCTTATCCTATACAGATTTAGGAGCAGTTTAGTGGCTGAAGTGCATGAAATTTTGTAATGGCGTAAATTTGGCTAGTAGTTAACATTTCCTAGAGTGGGATGAATCACTTTCCTTGTGTACATGAGGCAGTAGCTGTTATATACCTCCTGTCTTTTCCTTTGTGAATTGGGATTATATTTGCTTCCTTCTAACTTTGTAATAATAAGAGTTGAAAATTTTGAGATAAAGCCAATCCTTGCTGGTCAGCTTTTCTTCGAACCGATACTAAGTTTTCCTCTTATGAGCCTTCAGTACTTTTTAAATCTTCCAATAAGTTATAATTTTCTGAAGTTTCTTTATATTTTAAGCACAATGAGTTTAAAAACTAATTACTGTGGCCTTTTAATTATCAATATTTATGATAGTCACTTTATAAATACATTCATTGTATATCTTGCTCAGAAGAGTCATCAGCTGTAGCTAATGACTCTTCTGACGTGCTGTCTGTATACAGCATGTCTACAGACAGGGACATGCTGTCTGTAGACAGCATGTCCCTAAATATTTAGAAATAATTGGGGAAAGTCACTTGGAGGAGCGCTATATAACCAGACTCAGAGCACCTCTCACCATCACAACTCCGTCAACATGGCACTCAAGGTACGGCAATGACTGTCTGTCTTCAGTGTGTTGCGTTGGTTCCCAGTATTTTCTCATTCAGACTCTTAGTCCTGTGATGTTTATTTTACCTAGGGAGCAATTACTTCCTCGGAATGAATGGAATTTTTTTTATGGTAGATAAGAGACAAATGTAGCAAAAAAGGATAAATAGAATATTATTTTGATTGTTAAAGAATGTGATTTCAAGTACAGACCTGAATTATAATTTGTTAGGATGAGAAAAGAGCTGACACTTAGTATGAAGGAAGTAGATGAGGCTGTAATCAAACCGAAAATGGGAAATATCAGAAATGAGCGCGATTGATAAAGCGATAAATAAATTAGAGGGGAAACAAAGTGTTATAGCATTGTTTAACTCATGTATGAAGGGAGATATCCAAGGATTAGCAGGGAGGATTGTAGTTTCTTCATAACATTTTCTTCGTAAAATATACCAAAGAACTGTTGCTGGAAATATTTGTTTTAACCAGAGATAATGTGTAAAATACAGAAAACTTGTTTGGCAAATGTACAAAAATAACGTTTCGCTTGGTCTGCAGACAAAACATTCTAAATAAAGTGTACAACCTACTTTTGTGCCTTTATTACAAAAAATCTTTTTAAGGGGGGAGAATGAGGTGTACCGAACAAATTTTCTTCTTGAAGCATGTAAGTGAGCAGTATTTAGAAGTGGAAATGAATTGATGGTTACGTCAATGGATCTGGAAGGATCATACAACCTTCATATGTCATAAATATTTTCAGGTTTTTCTTATTGCTTGCATTTTGGCCGTGGCGGCTGGTGAGGCTCCTGTTCACCATTCCCCACCAGCCTACCCAGCTCCATCTCACTACCACAAGCCGCACTACCCAGAGGTGAGGAAATGTGTCAGTTAATATTATTTGCTGCCCCATTAATGTATATTCGTGTATAAAGAGCTAATTTTTATTACAGTAATGTATTTTAGGACCATTTTATTAAGATCATTGCAAAATTTTATTATTTTAAATATATTCGATATATTTATATAGTCTGCAATGTATTGTGTGAATTTTGTTTTCCCAGGAGCCTCCCAAATATTCCTTCAATTATGGTGTAGCGGACCACTACGGCGCAAACTTCGGTCACTCTGAGACCCGCGACGGCTACAGAACTGAAGGCAGTTACTCGGTGGACCTCCCCGATGGCCGCAAGCAGACCGTCAATTACCAGGACAACGGAGATGGTCTGGAGGCTGTGGTGAACTATGAGGGAGAAGCCCAGTACCCAGCACATAAGCCCTCGTACCCCGCCCACCCAACATACAAGCCATCATACCCTTCCCACCCAACACCCTACCCACCTCCCCCACCATACGAGTAAATATCAACGTCGAATCAAATGTGATTCAAGAAATATTACCTCCATTTGACTATATTTTCTGACTGTTTACCTGAGCGACGTGTGTAAATTTCATTGAGGTATATAATTACTATTTTGCATTTAATAAAAAAAATAAATTCAAAACTTATTTGTCTTAATAAGGAAAACCCCTTAGAAATTATAGAAACTTTATTAATAACTATACCCACTTATTAAGAGAAAAATAGCATAAATATAGCATCATTGTATTTTGCTTGTGTAAGTTCCTTATGGTCAGCACTAACTTTCCTAGTCACTCGAGATAACAAACTTGTCTTAAATTTAATCTTTAAACTGTGCAGAAGAGGTTAACTTCGAATACTTAAGTGATATATAACTTGGTTAAATAGTAGGATTTTTCCCTAAAGGGGAAATTTCTTTAGGATTTTCACTCTATAATCGATGCAATATATTTCAACTTCTATATATGACACTTAAGTCACGATGTTAAGTGCATTCTTGACTGTTTCAATATTCGAATATCCATACCTCAACATATTACTTTACGTAATTGAAAAAATGCTGCATCTTTTTTTTAATGCTGCTACTGCTTTTCTATGGTCTTCTAAATTCTGAGAAATAATGTCATGAGTGTGTTCATCTCACTGTATTTCTTCTCAGGGAGTTGCGAAAGAAACCTGCCACAGATCCAGGTTGTCTAATCTAAACCTGAATGCAACCGATTCTATTCTTCTATTTCCACCTATTTTACTGTAAACATCTTCCATTCAGTGCAACCCGATAGTAACAAAGTCACTGTTTCCTAACATATCATTCGGTGAACTAATTCTCAAGATTATTAATATTTAGTTTTCCTGTAACCTGCGGCGCTGTTTCCAGTGCATTAGTTTGTCAGATTATTAGTTTCTTTATTACCTGCTACTTCAGCAAGAGAAGTTACCAAAACAATTTTTACAACAAATTTGTAATTTTCCAATAAAGTATATTTTCTTATGCTCTAAACTATATTAAAGTTTTAATATTATTGGTATATATATATATATATATATATATATATATATATATATATATATATATATATATATATATATATATATATATATATTCGTCCGAATAGGCAATATTGTCATCTGGCCTTAAATAGCAACTGCATCATCTTGCCATGATAGGACAAGTGAAAATTTGTGTATGCAATAATTTCGCCAAAATCATTCTGAACCTAACGAAAAAAATATATTTCACTGTGCTTTGTTTAGTATTAAATTATTGTAAACAAATCTAAAATATATTTAGTTGGGTTAGGCTAAAATAAATTGTTCTTGTTATAATAAGGTTAGGTAAGTTTTTAAGATTCTTTTGATGCAAAATTTAAATTTTTTACATTAACATTAATGAAAAAAATATATCTTTAAACTTAAAAGAAAATTTAGAAAGGACTTAATTTTAAATGAGTTCTTGCTAATTGACCAGTTTTACATATTCGGCACGACCATATATATATATATATATATATATATATATATATATTAATATATATCGTCATATAGCAGAACTTGCGATCTGGCTATAAATAGCAACGCCACTTGCCATTAGGACAATGAAAATTTGTGTATGCAATAAAAAGTTTCGCCAAAATCATTCGACCTAACGAAAGTATATATTCACACGTTGTTGTTTAGTATTAAGTTATTGTAACAATCTAAAATAAATTTAGTTGGGTTAGGCAAAATAAATTGTTCTGTATAATAAGGTTAGGTAAGTTTTCTAAGATTCTTTTGGGGCAAATTTAAATTTTTTTACATTAACATTAATGAAAAAAATATATCTTTAAACGTGTAAAAGAAAATTTAGAAAGGACTTAATTTTTAAATGAGTTCTTGCTAATTGACCTTTTAATTTTCGGCACGACATACAAATAATATATATATATATATATAAATAAAATTTTTAATATATTATATATATTATATATATATAATAATATTACCCAGCCACAGCTCTCTCAGTTTGCTACAATAGAAAGACAAAATTTCTTAAACCGCACAGGGGGGGAAATTCCGCTCAAGTTTTTTACACTCTCGGTGCGCACAGGAGCTAGCAATGTTGCAAAGTAGCAAGACAAAGAAATGAGGAATTTTTCTCAAGTGAGGTTATTCTAGGTCCGGCATTCGAACACTAAGATTCCACTCTACTGTATGGAATGCTTATAAGTTTTAAAGTGTGTCGCTTTTTTTAGTAGAGAAATCTCTTAAAATCCGGAGCTCTGAGAGAGCGAGAGATTTAGTCAAAAAAGTATGGCGAATCGTGACGAAACGCTGTAAAGAGGAAAAGGAAGGAATTGGGGCAGGTTAATTTTAAAAATTTTAAAAAGAGGAATAAGACTGAAAACAACGTTGGAGTCCTATACAAGGGGAGAAATTCGAATACCACTTCACTTGAATCCGGACCGAGGCGCCAACGGGACTCATCCAGTCCTTGCTTTTCCTCCCCCCGCATTTCAAACACTTAAGCTTGTTCTATCAGCACTGGAGACTATTTGTTATGGTATTTTTTATTGTTTTCACCCTGGTTATATTTTCTACCAGTAATGTTTTCACTAATACTTATTATAGTGTAATCTGTTTTCAGTCATTTCCCTAGGCCTTCTTACATCACTTTTTACTCTACTTACTCTACTTAGCCTGGTGGATGGAGGATCAAGCCTCCATCATTCATTCCATTGCTCCACTATTCACATGGGTTTAGTACTTCTCTTAAAAATGATTAATAAAAATCACTCTGGATGATCATAGTGAAACTGTGTAGCCATCTTAATGGAGGACTGTCATTAGATTTTGTCCCATTACATCTTAGTTCTGCCACACCACCTATTCATGTTTAATTAACATCTGAGTATTCTTGGTCAAAACGTGTATTGGATCTTTTAATTTTTTAAGCATAGGATTACAGTAATTTTTCAATTTTTATTATTAATAGTGATATAGATTTTTTTAGCAGCGTATCTATTTACCCTTATGTTTATTTTAATATATTTTTCAAAAAAGTACAAGTACGACTCTCGGAATGTTTATAACGAGAAAGTCAGGCGACCCTTTGTTTAACATTATTATTAAATTTAAGGGTCATACAATTAAGGGTCATACAGCTCTTTGAGAAATAAAAGACAGTCAGGAGTACTCCAGTAAATAAAGGGTAGGTTCACTTTCTTGAATCAAGAGCTCTTCAACAGCAGTATAAACACTGACAAGCAGCATAAACACTGGCCAGCAGTATAAACACTGAACAGCATATACACACTGGCAAGCAGCATAAACACTGACCAGCAGTATAAACACTGACCAGTAATATAAACAATGACCAGCAGTATAAGCAGTATAAACACTGACCAGCAGTATAAACACTGACCAGCAGTATAAACACTGATCAGCAGTATAAAAGTAGAAGAAATACAGGCTGTGGTGGAGAGATAAACATGCAAGGTGCTTCTAAAAGAAATATGTAATTTGGTGGATAAATGTGTTACATCAACGACCACCAGATCCCACTCACGCACATACGCAACACACACACACACACACACACACACACACACACACACAACACACACACACACACACACACACACACACACACACACACACACACACACACACACACACACACACGCACGCACACACACACACAAAACGAGGAGAGGTTATGGGAAATCAACCTGACGACATTGAAGGGCAGGAGGGAAAGACTTGCTAATGATATACAAAATACTGAGAAGAACTGACAGGGTGGATAGGGACAGAATGTTGCAGAGATGGGACACAGCTGGAAGTTGAAAACTCAGTTGAGTCAAAAGGAAATTAGGAAGTATTTCTTCGGTCATAGAGTTGTCAAGAAGAGAAGCAATTTGGAGAGTGATGTAGTGGAGGCAGTATCCATACATAAGAGGTTTGATAAAGCCTTATGGAGAAGAGAGAGGGTGGACCTAGTATCGACCAGCGAAGAGACGGGGCCAGGAACTATGAGTCGACCTCTGCAACCACAACTAGGTGAGTAAGTAGGTGAGTATGCACACACACACACACGCACACTCACTATTCATAGCTCAGTAATAACTCAGATTAAATAAGTGTGAAAGTGTGTTCCACATGTTTCGATGTGTCTCAGCTCTCCCTCACGTGTGGCCACTCCAGGTTTGGCCACAGCAACTGTAGCCACGAAAGGTTTCGCTACGGCAGCTGTAGAGACAGGCATGATTAGCTACGTCAAATGTGACGACAGCAGATGCTGCTGCCTCAGGTATGGTCAAGCGCGATGTGGCCACGACATGTGTGTGGCCAAATTAGGTGTGGCTAATTATCAATTATGGCCAATTCTAAGCTACCATCTGCACGTATTGAGGCCAGCATGATCTAGCAGCTTACAACCACTGCAGTAGTTAGCAAATACGTGCATGTTATTCTGCTATAACATTCCTTCAAGGGAGTGCTTAGATTCTGGTGAAGGACTCCTGTTCCACGTAAATGAAGCTGCCTTAACCCAACCATAGTTCAAACCTGATTACCTCCCCTTCCTCAGAACCTGCTTATCCTACGTGCAGTACTGCCTACTTTACATTAAAAGATTATATATATTTATAAGGCTGATACACTAGAAAGTTTCTCAGACACATACTCGCACAAGTAACTTTTTATTTAGATAGTAAAGAGGAAAGGGTTTTGTCCCATCTAGACATAACAGGTCATGGCAAAGCTCTATATTAGGCGATACGTCACCAGAATGAACATTTGATTTTGCAAATTTTGTCCCCTTTATTATACTTGTCAGCAGCATTTGTGAGTCAAGCTCCCTTGCAATATTATGCAGATATTACTCTGGGTGAAAACAAGTGTCGTTCTCCAGTCATCACTCATCAGTATTTCATATAATGCATGATCATAAAAACCAGAATTTTGTGAGTCAGGATTTTATGATCCAGAAACTGAAGAGCCAAGATTTCGCGAGAGAAATTCATTAATATACAATTAAATAT